TAAATAATTCTGAAATATTAACAGAAATTGTACTTGATTATTGCAGTTTTTAAGGTTACAAGCATTAACTTTCGGGAACTAAAAAAGTTGATGCTTGTAACTTTAAAAACTAATTTTATCCTTCTATATCATCTTTAATAATCATCATCTTTTAATCCATCTTTTTTGATAATGAAAATTATGTGTTTAAATACTTTTTCTTGTGAAAATAGTTTCATGCCTTAAAATGGCTTTAATATACAGTAACTATCACAACACTCTTACCTAATCCAGTTTAGACAGTAACATGAATATGCAAATTAGTCCCCACCTCCACCCAATCACACACCCTCAAGACTACCTGCTTCACTTTCACTCAGTTACCTGAAGAAGTAAACACTACACAATGGCAAGTGAAAATACTTGATTAATTCAACCATATATGTTTGAACCATAAACTGATTCCGAAGAAAAAGAGGAAGCAAATTATACAGGGTTGTCTTCAAGTCGATGCATGGTGATGCATTTTATGTATCACTTTCTACAACGTCAGACACATAACAGTAATTGATTGATAGATAGATAGATAGATAGATTAATAGCTTATGATGTTTTGCTAATATTACACAAACTATGTTTCCGTTGTCATCTCAGAAAGCTACTATCTAAAAACCAACATCCTTGGGTAGAAAGCTTTACTAATGATATGAAAAGCCCCACCATGCAAGCTGATGGGATTGGTTACATTTTTATGATGGTAGGAATCGGTTGGTTTTAAACAGCATTTTTGAGACTTTAACTTTGGTACACTGCAGTTTTAAGGATAAAATGCTCGTGAATTTGCACGACTTACCTTTAAGCATATTAAAGACACCAGATAGACATGTAAACAATGTTATAAACTTAATATACACTTTCACCACAGGGGTAAACGAAAGCTAAACAGTTGTTTTGGATGCCTTTTTTCCTTTCAAGGGAACTCGAACTGCGTCCTCTAGAGTTCGATATGGGGGAACGTCATCAGCGTGACCAGTGTCTGAAACACATGTCTAAAGATGACAATAACATTTGCCAGCAACAGCTTATGACATCACTACTGGTGCGACCATAGTATAAAATGGCACCGGAGGAGCAAGTCATCGCTCTGTCAGGAAGTGGTGTCAAGTTGCTAGGCTCTCTGTGAGCCTCCTTGGCTAGCTGCCTTTACATGGTTGGTTGTATTGTTAGGCTTCCACTCGCTATAGAGTTTTTCTAGTGAGGCCTCCACTCCTTAGAGCTCTGCCTGGATAGCAGTTTCAAGTTGTTTAGTCTCTCTGTGAGCTTCCTTGGGAAAGCTTCATTGGGAAAGAGTTTAGAGAGTACTCCGCTCCCTTGGGCTCCATGGTGCAGTTATGTCAGGTTGATTAGGCTCTTGTTAGCCTCCCTGATGAGCTGCCGTAAAGGTTGAGTGTGGCAGTACTCCCCTCAGTTAAAGAGTTGTTATACTGAGTACGCCTCTCCCAAAGGTGAGCATGATAGTACTCCCCTCATTCTAGAGTGTCGTTATGTTGAGCACTTGCTCCCCAGAGCTCTGTTCTGCAGAACGTCAAGTGTGTTAGTACTCGTCTCATTTGAAGAGTCATTATGCTGAGTATTCCGCTCCCTATAGCTCAGTTTGGTGGTATTACTAGGTTGTTAGGCTCTCGGTGGGCCTCCCTAATAAGCCGCCCTTAAGGTCGAGCCTGACAGTACTTCCCTCCTTGGAGGTTCGTTATCCAAAGTATGCCATTCCCTAAGGTGGTGAGAATGATAGTACTTCCCCTCATTTTGAGGGCCATTATAGTGATTTCTTGAGATTACTTTCTGCAGTTAGGTTGATAATTTTATTACTCCTCTCACTCGTTATACTTTGCTATACTGTGTGAGTCGTTATACTGAGTACTCCACTCCCTGGAGCTCTGTGCTGCAACTGGTTGGAGTTGTCAGGCTCTCTGTGAGCCTCCTTGATAAGCTGCCCTTTAGGTTGAGCTTCGCAGTGCTCCTCTGACTCTAGAGAGTAGGGGTGAGAAACACAAGTCCTGGAGGGCCGGATCCCAGCAGAGTTTAGATTCGACCCTAATTAAACACACTTGATCCAACTAATCAAGTCCTTCAGGCTTATTTGAAAACTACATGGTATGTGTGTTGGAGCAGGGTTGGAACAAAACTGAGGAATTGAGTTTGACACCCCTGCTCTAGAGGGCAGTTATGCTGAGTACTCTGCTCCCTAAGAGCTCTGTGTTGTAGGTTGGTAGGCTCTCTATGAGCCTCCCTGACAAGCAGCCAACATAACGACTCTACACCTCTCATCTCTCCGCTCTTTGGAGCTCTGTACTGCAGCTGGTTCAAGTTGTTAGGTTCTCTGTGAGCCTCCTTGATAAGGTGCCCTTTAGGTTGAGCTTGGCAGAACTCCCTCACTTGTAAGGGTCGTTATCCTGAGTACTCCCTAAGGTAGTGAGTATGATAGTACTCCTTTCACTTTGAGGGTCAATATGCCGAGTACTTGCTCCTGGGAGCTCTATCATGTGCATTGGTTGAGCAGGATTAGTACTCATCTCGCTTTAGAGAGTTGTCATGCCGAGTACTCCGCTCCCTAGAGCTCTGCCTGCAGCAGTATTAGGATGTCAGGCCTTCTAGCCTCCCTGTAACTTTTTTGTATGAGCCTGGTTCAGGCTTTTTACAGGTTGAGTGTGTGTATAATACCCAGACACCTGGCCATATCCCCTTAAAGGAATCATATTTAGATATGATTCCAAGCCTTTGAGCTCTGCCCAGGGGCCCAGCTTCTTTTCACTTGGCTACTAGCAGGTAAGTTCCTTTAGGGCATGCAGCTTGGGCTTTTTGGCCAAAAGGGTTAGTGCCACTGACAGCCATCAAGGGGTGACTCCGACGATCTCCTGTGGAGTTGGTGCTTAGGGCTTGCCTTTTATGTAATTTGGCATACATTCTTCTCAGCATGACAGAGTGGGTATTTCATTCCCCATAGCGTCTTCTAGAGAACACAGTGTGAGTTCCCTTGAAAGGGAATGTCTCAGATTAGGCATGTAACCATGGTTCCCTGAGAGGGAATGAGACACTGCGTCCCCTCGCCATGCCTCTGGGATGCCTGCTTTGTGTTCTTCAGATAAAGAAGTGGATGGTGTGCTCCTCTGGTGCCCTTTTATACTATGGTCACATCAATAGTGACATCATAGGGTGTTGCCAGCCAATTTTATTGTTGTGTTTAGACATGTGCTTCGGACACCAGGTCATGCTGATGGTGTTCCCCATAGCAATCTCTAGAGGACGCAGTGTCTCCTTCCCTGTTAGGGAACCATGGTTACATGCGTAACCTGAAACGTTTTGTTCTACTACTAAAAAATGATTTGTTTATTTTAAACAAATAAAGATAAAATTGAGTTTAATGACCACTTCATACATGTAACCACATCTGTAATTGCAGTAAAGGTTAGTAGAACCACCACTAGCCCAGAATGCAAGTTCTGTGGCTAGAATGCAGTGGGGGGAGTGAATGACCAGCGTTCTCTTCCATCCTCAATACCACGAGTGAGGTGAGACCCCAAACTCATTATATACAGTGGGTACGGAAAGTATTCAGACCCCCTTAAATTTTTCACTCTTTGTTATATTGCAGCCATTTAGGCTAATTATGCATTCTTTATAGTAACTTGTTTACCATATTTTTCATTCTTTCAAGCAGACATATTTATTTCTTTAAATAAATTTAGATTAATCTTTAGGGCTACTAAAGTTTTTCCTGTGAAGAGCAGTGCGTGATTTTCTGTCTTTCTTTTGTTGCTTGATTAACATCAATGACTCGGACAATAGCAACTAAATTAGGCTGCTATCCCTTTAAAACTGAATGCACAGTTGCAATGGATGCAATGTACTGATACACGTCCTCCCTACTGTTTACGTTAACTTAAGACGTAATCAACAGTGTTTACGTGAATACCCGTCAAAACGGACAATTCAACATAATTTTGTGTGTAATTCTCCATTCATGCGAGGCGAAAGAGTACTCACGCACTGTGAGACGCGCTTTCTGTGTGTGTATGCTTCAGTGTCTGCGCTCAGAAAACTGGACTGAACTGAGTTCTCTCTTGCATCGTCAGATTTATCCATATGTCTGCTCTTCTCTTACTCCCACATATTGACATTTTTTAACGTTTTATGCGACATGCAGCAAGTGTATGTTAGCTTATGTCCTACCTCCGAACCACGCAGCAGATTCGTTCTGAATGAATCTCTTCCCAAATCGTCCCTCCCTAACATTTTCGTCTCGTTTTTATTAATTGACGAAAATGTCAATAGATTTGCGTCATAGTTTTTGTCATTTAAAAAGAGTTTTAGTTCGTTATGGTCTCGTTGTCGTCAGTGAAAAAATGCCGTTGACGAAAATTATGACGAAAATTATTCGTCAACGAAATTAACACTGGTTCACAGCACTGTCAGGAAGTGTGAGCACTCAGCTTCTCTGATGCACTGTAGCCACTTCAAGGGTCTCTAATTGTTCAGACTAGCTGAACTAATGCAGTTTCTATTCTGGTGTATTTCCAGCCGTTTAATGCACTCCCAAATGAAGGAATGAAGGAAGGAATTAATTAATTAATTAATTAATTAATTAATGACAGCTGAAAGTGTTTTGCCACCACCTTCTTTTATGTTTTATATGCACCTATTCTTAAATGCACTCCATTTCATTCTTGTCATACAAACACACACAGCATCGGTACACATTGTGTATCAGATATGAACATGCAATTAGTGTGGATAAGAAACCACTGCAACACATTGGAAATACACAAAGGAGGAATTTTGGGAAAAATTACATTAATTAAAATGTTAACTGCTAGCCTTATAACAAAATCTTAGCTCTTTGAAATGTCTGCTGCTTACGGCCAAAAAAACAACAACAACAACAACGGGTCTCCATTAGCATGTCCCTCACAGGGTCATGATGTGATGAGGCTGAGGGGTGGCGACAGAGATAAAAAACTCACACAGGCTGCGAGAACTCTGGAGGCTCGTCGTTGACATTGGCCATACGAAGACGCACAGTGGCCGTGCCAGTGCGGGACACCTCACCCTTATCCACCGCCATCACTACGAATTCATACAGGTGGTTGGGCCTCTCGTAATCCAGAGGGCCTGCCGGGAATATGGTGCCATGGGCTGAAATGATGAAATCTGGACTAAGCGTGTAGTATGTGATCTCTGCATTCTGCTCCGAATCACAATCACTGGCTGATACTGCAAAAGAGAAAGCAATACATGAGGTGGGTATTAATACAAAGAAATGCAGCATCAGCTAATAGGATCAATCTTTATTTGAGTTTCCCTGTGTAAATAGCTTGGGCATATACGCTTGTCAAATGAACGACTAGAATGGTTATACATGACTGGCGATCAAAAGATCCCACGCTGTGAGTCTTATTGCATCTGACAACTACAGTAAAATGCAATGGCATTCAATAAGGTGTGAGCCTGTTTCAAATGAACTTCAGATACACAGTAGCTGCTTTGCACATCAACTCAACTAGTGTTGACATAAAGGGATAAATATTTCTCGAGCTGAGGTCCAGTTTCCCTGAATGTGCACTTTAGAAAACCAACAATTTTTGCAGAATTGTATATTACGCATTTTAGCACTATTTTATAAACAACATGACCAGAATGGATCAAGTGCATGCGCAGATTACAAATTATATTAAAGACAACAGCATAGATAGACAGACAGACAGACAGATAGATAGATAGACAGATAGATAGATAGATAGATAGATAGATAGATAGATAGATAGAGAACAAAACAAAACCCCGGTCATGAATTAGAAGTACAAACCGAGGATTTGTAAAGAAAAATGTCAGAGGATTTCGATATAAGCCAAGAGGAGACTACTTTTCCTTTGCTAAAGTAAGGACACTTTCTTCTTCTTCGTGTTTTTATAATGGCGGGTGGCAACTAACATTTAAGATGCATATCCGCCACCTACTGTGCTGGAGTGTGGACCAGAAATGTATACTTATCAGTAAAGAAACTTTGCTTCCTTTGCTCCTATAAACTTGTGCAGAGATTATCTTACTATAGGGAGATGAGAGGGTCTGTATTACTTACTATTGGAGAAAGCGTAACGGCTAACTTGGATCACGTGTCCCTTAATAACCAATCACATTACAGCCTCGACGTCACTGAATCTGTGCGATACTCACCCGTTTACGGATCCCTTAGGAATGAATGAGAAATGCTGTATGCTGAACCCCACCTGTCGCAAAAAGTCAGTGACTTCTCTTATAAAACTGCATTTATTTCGTGGTAAACTCTAAAAGTAGTTAAATCCAAAAGTATTATTTAGTGTAAAACATGTTGAAGATTAGCAGATAGGCTGTCGATTCATTAAATGATAAGTCGTTTCCTCTAAAAAGCTGTTTATTCAGCGTAGTGAAGCCTCTCCTCCATTGACATCCATTCAAAAAAAAAAAAGGGCCTCTGGTCTCCTTTCCCACGTACTGCCAGACCGGAAGTGTTAGCTTTAGCCGTTACGCTTTTTCAGCTAATGGTTGCAGGCTTGCCTTCTAGTGGCTTTGATTTGTGCCTTGTCCAAATACCCGCACTTGCAGTCTTGGCCACTTAAGAGTGCGTGCACGCGACAGGAAGTAAGTGCGCAAGACTGTCCCAGGTCTTAAAAACGCTGAAGCGGCGTGCCCTGAACGCACTCTAAATCCACACTATCTCAAATACCGCTCTGGAGCTTAGTTTATCCCATCATGCATCATCTTCTGGAAATAAATTGTGAGACTTTTTGCCAAGATCGCGAGAGGTGACGGAAACCTCTCCAATGTAAGGTAAATATTACTAATAATTAGATATTACATATAATTTGGTAGTAAAACAAAGTGCTACACATTTTATTGGTGCAAAGGTGAGTATATTTATTTTGTACATCATTTGCAACTGCTTTTTATCACTTCATTAGAAGCACCAGAAATTAAAGTGTCATCTGTTATAGGGACTACTGAACATTAAAATTAATATTATTGCAAACTTACAGGAAATATAAGTAGTCAAGTGATCAAGTGCAAAGACTGCAAGTGTGGGTATTTGGACAAGGCAAAAGGCAAAAGACTAGCACAGGGGTAGGTAAGTTCGGTCCTAGAGAGCCGCAGTCCTGCAGAGTTCAGCTCCAACCCTAATCAAACACACCTGAACAAGCTAATCAATGTCTTCAGGATTACTAAGGCTATAGGCAGG